GCCGCAGACGACGTGGTGGCAGCAACGGACGGCGTGGCAGCGACGGACAGCGTTCCGGCGGCCGTAGTCGACGTGGCGGCGGACGTTGTGGTTTCGGTGACGGCGATTTTCTGCTGCGACGACTTCATGTTTCTCGTAGTCGGCATTTCAGCGATCCGGCTTCAGAATGGTCTTCCTCCAGCGATCCGGCTTCTCGATGTACCAACGGTGTTCCTCCAGCAATCCGGCTTCTCGAAGGACCACGATGAACGGTGTGGACTGCCGTTCGGTGAGCATGGACTGTAGGGGCGTTGGTTCAGGCTGGAGTGAAACACAGCGATTACTATTCTGAAGCCTCTGGTACCGTCTGAAGAGAGTATTTTTTCTTCTTGTCCTATTTCTTCTCGAGTGTAGTGCGTCGCTGCCCGGAAGCGAATGCCGCTCGACGGGAGGCGGCCTATCTTTATACCCGCCCGCTCGCACGATAACATTTCCAACTTGCGTTAGCGAATCTGTGCGAGCGGGACGGGGTGAGAGTGAACGAGACGCGTGTCTCTTCAGATCGGTACCCTATAGCGTCTATTTATTTATTACAATTTACAATTTCTTAGTTCTATTTATTGTTACAATTTCTATTTCTATTCGTAGGTAATAATGACAACACGTAAAGAATGCTTTATTTGACTTACACTATAGGTATCTTAAATCTATGTAAATCTATATAAAATAACAGTATACAAACGATTAAACTAGGGACTTAACAACTACAAATTACGATTACATATATACAAATAATGTCGCGAACAATATATATATATATATATATATATATATATATATATATATATATATATATATATATATATATATATATATATATATATATATATATATATATATATATATATATATATATATATATATATATATATATATATATATATATATATATCTGTCACGCCTGTCTCCCATTAGGGTAGGCAGAAACAATGGAACGCCAAATGCTTCGATTCAAACAAACCTCTTTCGCTTCTTCCACATTCATCAATCTTTTCCCGGTTACGGGTACTTTTAATTTGGCCCTTCTTCAGCACGACGCCGAATTTATATATATTCTGTATATTTTCTAACTACCTTTGCGAAGCCAGGGGCGTTACTAGTAATGGATAAACTCAAAACATAATCGCTTTTTTACGATTAATATAGTTTTTTTTTTTTAGACACAATCTTAATTATTATTCTGTTTATCAAATCGCACTAAAATCAACTTATGAAGTCTCCTTGAAGCTCTTTGTACATATTAACTTCCTTTTTGTACTTTGCCATGATGATATTATGAAGTAATTAAAAGAAGTAGAAGTTTAGTGCAGAGTAGTTAGTTATAAAATAATTACTAAATTAATTTTTAATCAATTTAATAATATTTCTTCAAAGCAATAATTTTTTAGTCGTAATTTTATTAAATCTATCTAACCTAATATTTTAATTTAATAGTTTTATGAAATTATTGTTTCAATTAATTATCGTAAACTAAATTTTTAATAATATTGACTTTATTAGAAATTTGGTTAGTTTCATAATAGTCCTTCATATTAGTTTTTAGAATAAAGATTTTACTGCGATATCAAATAAAATTTTTAATAAGAGATAGGTTTAGAGGCGTCTCAGAATTGATTTCATTGAAATAAAATTGTTATGAAAATTTATCTAGCTGTTTCTATGTAAATGTATGTATATATTACTATTTCAACCGTTGACTATCCACTGCTGGATATAAGTCGGGGATTTTGTCAGTAGTTTCCATGCTAGTCAGCAACCGGAATTAACTCTTTGAAGAGGGACGCTGCTGCCCATCCCTTGCCCTTCCTTAGTCACCTCTTGCGAAATTTTGTATGTTTGTCTATACGTTTGTGCACGCTAATACGCTAAAAACAGTTTAACCGATTTCAATGCGGTTTTCACTGAACATTTGGAGTTTGTTTCCATCGGTTCATAAATAAAAAAATTATATCAAAAACATATAAAATAACCGTATAACATATATATAATATATACATTTACATTTGATGAACTACTGCCTATATATATATATATATATATATATATATATATATATATATATATATATATATATATATATATATAAAACAGAAGGCTAATATAATATGAAGACATGAAAAATACATATGAACAACTTTGTAATACTAATTTCAAATATTTGACGCGATTTATAGCGCCTCAGGCGGTCTCCGGCAATGAAAAGGCGTGATCAAATTGCGTAAGATCACGGTTGAAACTCATGCTTTGACTGGAAAAAAGGGTCTTATTCAAAACTCCACCTTCCACTGAATAAAATTTACGTGCAATGATTATGCGGAGATAGCAAATTAGGCAGAGGAAGGAAGCAAATGAACCGAAAATACGATTATTTTGCTGTGAGCATCGCGAAAATTTATACGAAATGTTTGCTGTTATTTAATGACGTCGCATGAGAGCTTAGCACTGAGAAACATAAGCGGACAGCGGATAAAGAATTTAGTTATCTTTTAAAAATGAATCGCTGAATGTGTTGCTAAGCGTAAATCTTGAGAACAGCTGAACCGATTTCGATAATTTTTAGAATATTACTTGAAGTACGAGGATGGTTGTTATGGAGAGAAAATTTTAAAAAAATGCCTGAAAAAGTCTAAAAGCAACACTTTTCTATACTCTATAATACTTAAAATTCAATTTTAACTTTAATACCATACCATAAAGTTTAAGTATTAGTGGAGAGGTTCCGGGAAGGCAAAACAATTGACGTAGCGGGACGTATTTAATAATTTTTAATTTTTGACATAATGTAATTGTTAACTTTTTTCTTTCTGTTTTCTTTTTTTATCTTACTATCTGACCCGGCGTCACGAATATCAGAATAAGTATTAAAAAAAACTTAAAAATTAAAGAATCGAAGTTCGCAGTACGATGTTCGTGGAATCAGCTAGTTGTTAATAAATTAGATTTTGCCAAGGAATCCGTCTTCAAACTTATAATAATAGAATGAATATACAAATAATCAAAGATTGGTCCTACAAAGAATTTGACTTCAATTGTGAACTCATAAAAACTAGTTATTATAAGTTAGTTATTTTTAAGTTATAATAACTGAATTTGATAAATTCCTATGGGAGTAACTTTTAATCCTTTCAAATAAAAAAAAAAACTTTCGAAATCGGTTTAGAACTAATGGAGTTATGAATAACAAACATAAAATATTCAACTAAATTCAGACAAACCTCTTTCTTTTTGAAGTCGGTTGAAAATAGCTAAATAATTGTGTAAGTTATTGTTGTATTGTTTTTATATAATAAGAGCTATTTGTAATATTATAAATTTTAAATTAATAAATTAAAAATTGTGTAATATAGCCACAAAAAAATCAAACGATTGAATAAATTTCTTTTAAAAATCGCTTATAAATAAAACTTTAACATAATCGCTACGCTCATCACAACAATCGTAGCCGCTATTGCCAAATGATGTAAATTAGCATATCTGTGATTCAGGTTGGCCTGCATTTGTTTATTTGTAGCATAATTTGCCACTTTCTTGTTTCACGGAATCTCATTACACTGTTTATGATTGGGTGCTTCAGTTCATTTCTCGTTAATGTCGGAATATTCAATGTGGAAGGTCATTACTTTTATAAAGTAACTCTTTAATTTTGCTTTTGTTTCTCCACTGGTATGAATATTGCATTAGGGTTTTGTGTAAATTAAGATTAAATATATGGACTGCCTTTGTTGTAACAATTTGACTATTCCTTGTATCATATTGTATAAATTAACATTTACCAATGGGTTGACGTTAGCTCGAAATAAAAATTTCATAAGATTTTTTTCCCATTCATTTCCTATTGGAATAGAGAATAAATATTATAAATAAATAATAAAATAAAATAAATAATACAGTAACGGTATATTAAATGATCCTATTCAATATTTGTAACTTTTTTGTCTCACTCTGCGTGTTCTATCGCTTGTACAATGAAGTGTGCTCAGAAAATCGACAGAAAGATTACCCCCATACCTTAGATAAACTAAAGACTACAATTGCATATATATTAAATGAAAAAATACATAGACTACTTTTTTCGAAGTCAGTAAACATATCCCAGTCACACGGACAAACTCACGGGTAAAGCTACTTTCTTATATATATCTCGTAATTACTGTTCACCTATCTTCCTCAAATAATGTCATTTTTGATGTTTAATAAATCAACTTGGTAATTTTTTTATACTTGTCCTATTTAGTTTATATCATTTTTCAATTGACTTGAAAAATGGAAAGTTCTCAATTGTTATATCTGTAGATATGTATCTAAGTTCATTCTATGACAATTTGCATATTTTTTATCGGAAGGGTTTGTTTATATTAATATATATTCTTTATTGCGCTTGTAAAAAACATACAGCGATTAGTTTAACAACTTGTTAACAAGGGTGGGCTTATCTCTGAAAGAGATCTCTTCCAGCCAACCCATGCAGTAAGAGAGAAAATGATTAGCGGGTAATCTCGTGCAGGAAAAGTACAGGAAAAAAGGTATACAAAGTAAATAGGCTACAAATAAAATAAACATACACAAATTGTAAATAACATTTGTACATATGTATAAAAACATGTATAACAAAGTATTTAATGAATTAATAAAGAAAGAAGAAAGGGAAGGGGAATATATATATATATATATAATTTATTATTAACAGCCATTCTGTTTAAACAGTAAACAGTGTAGTATATTTCTTATATCTTAAATAAGTTACAGTATATTTCTATGATAAAAAGAAAAGTTCGATGCAAGACAATAAAAATATAAAAATAGAAACAAAAAAATGAAGGTGTTAAAATTAATTTGAATATAAAAACAAATATTGAAATAAATATTAATGCGATAATAAATAAAATTATAAATAGTTCCACTTCATAATATTCTGCGTGAGACATGTTCGCGGCAGGTGAGCGCAAGTGAGCAGCGCCGTATCAAAGCACGTGCTCCGTCCACCACACAGCGCGCTCTAGTGATGGCTGAGGTTGATCCGACAACCACTTGCGCAGGTTACCGATGTTATGCCGGTAGCTGTAAAAAAGAAAAACAATTCATCAAAATAAAAAACTATGAGAGGCAACAACGGTCTTATTGCTATATATTATTAAATGTGATAATATTGAAGTGTTTTTAAAAATTGACAAGTTTTTGTGAACGAATTTTCTGAAATAATTTATCAATTTTCAATATTCCTGTTTAAAGGGACCTGATAATTTAATATAATAATGACACTAGCTGGTGTAACAGTGTAATATACTGCCTCATTTTTTAGACTCTAAGCACATTGGAATTGACAGCATACAAAGCAGCAGTGAGTAGTTTCAGTTTCAAAGCAATTTCAACGAACTTCAAAAAGAAGGGTGTTCTCAATTTGGTTGTAATTTTTTTTATATTTATTATCTAATGACTCCGTCATTTTTAAACCATTTTTATATCTTAAAGGATATGCTTGCAAAACTTTATCAAAATCAGTTTAGTAGTTTACGCCTAGTGAAGCCTATAAAGATTTCGTTTCTTCCTGTTAATTTGTATTTTAATACTTCAGTACCTATATGTAAGAGTAGCCTCTATCATAACAATTGTTTTGTGATGTGCATAAAAATTTACAATAAGATACCCCAGTCATTTCGTGAAATGTCCTTTGAAATTTTCCGAAGAAAACTACGAAATTGGCTTATTGAAAAATGTTTTTACACGATAAAACAATTTGTAAGTCTGAATGGTAGATTACACTAAGAATGCACTTTATGTAATAATATTCATAATATGACATGTACAATTTTAATGCTTAATAACTATAATATCGACTATTTTTAAACGTTGACATAATTAAACAGTTAAATATAACAATTAATATGTATTTAGAATAATTAATTAGATATACGTATTTGATAAATTTTTACTCTAAAATGTTAGCCACTAACTAACAAAACTAACTAACATGCGCTAAAACAAAATTTGCATGCCTTTAGATAAGACGAAATGTGTAGCTCTGTTACCATTTAAGACCATTTGTACCACATTTCGAGCAAATAAATTATTATTTATTTATTAATTTATTTAGTGATTTACATCATCATCATCATTATCATTATCATATCAGCCATTAATCGTCCACTGCTGAACATAGGCCTCCCCCACGAAGGATTTTTCAATTATTTCCCACGTTTCCTAGGCAGGTTAGCAATCGCACATACGTTTTGGTGATGTTTTAAATGGGGTGTTGCATCTCATTTCTTGACCCTTAAATTCCCTTAGTCGCCTCTTACGAAACCCATGGGAAAGGAAGGGGTGGTCCTTTCTACGCCGAGACTAGACGGCACTACAATATGTATATATTCAATTCAGCTGATTTGTAAATAAAAGTAGGCAAGGAAATTACGTCAATGTACAGCCCACGTGACTGTGTCACTGTTTATTTTAAATGTTAGTATTGAGATCTCTTTGATCAGTTTAATAATAATAATAATAATAATAATAATAATAATAATAATTCTTTATTTAATAACAATTCACACCTAGTTACATCTACTAGCCACCGAACTAGGCTGAACCTGTATCTCAGTGGTTAGTTAAAAACTTCCTTTGACTTAACATAAGACGGTACAATCTAAAACATAAATACACTCATTTGCAATGTTCAATTTACTTTTGGTGCAACATTGTTAAATGTGGGTAGCATCATATTATTTACTTACAATCACGATTAACAGTTTACCCACCTAATGTGCAATATTATTTGCCGGTCATATTAGCAACCACATAAAGTATTGACTTAAGACAAATATTAATAAATTAATTTATATTATAGCATAATATTATTTTAAGCAGAGATAAGTATTGTTAGACATAATATCAAATTTACAATGCGTTTCATTTAGAATAATTCATGAGTACATCTATGTTGTTTTTTTGTTAAGCATTCTATGAGTAATGCAGATGAAATATAATTAATTACTATATATGTGTAAGTAGTGTGTGTGTGTGTGTGTGTGTGTGTGTGTGTGTGTGTGTGTGTGTGTGTGTGTGTGTGTGTGTGTGTGTGTGTGTGTGTGTGTGTGTGTGTGTGTGTGTGTGTGTGTGTGTGTGTGTGTGTGTGTGTGTGTGTGTGTGTGTGTGTGTGTGTGTGTGTGTGTGTGTGTGTGTGTGTGTGTGTGTGTGTTTAGTTTCTTACTAGTAGTAGTAGTAGTGTAGTAGTTTACTTTCTGATCATTTCTCTTTGTCTTTTTTTCTCAATGTCCTCTGCGAAAAGGTCATCTGGAAGAGATTGTTTAGCGATAAGACCGTCTTTTGTATCACTTCTCATTATAATGTACTTTATTTATTATTTCTATTAGTACAATGATGTGTCAATAAATCAATCATTCATTAGTTTTTGACGAAAAATATGACAAAATGACACAAAAGATTCGTCTTTGGTGTCATTTAGAGTTATTTTTTACGAAAAGATGATTTGTATATATTATATTAAAACCCAGCGCGTTATTAAATCTTACGTTTTAGCAGTAAATTTTAGAATTTACCAACACGAGTTGGTAAATGTAAGGATTTTATATATAAGAAAAAATATTTTAAGGACATTCACTAAACCTAGCCTACCTTTTGGATTACGAGTATGAAAACCACGAACTAAACATGTTTCAATATGATATTTGCAAGTGTAGAAATCCAAAAATAAAAAAAAAAAAACAAATCTAAATTTCTAAATGTCAAAAAGTAGTCACAAATTTAACACATGTTTAGAACGTTGTGCTCGAACTTGTTCTCAGAAATATAAACCAGGTAAACTTACGTTTGGTATCCTGACAGGTCCAAAAATATAATCCTTACATTTATCAACTCATATTGGTAATCTTAAGTTTTACTGGCGTAATCTAAGATTTATCAATATACGGGCTTCTATGGTAACATACATAAATACATACATACATGTCTTGATCAACAGTTAGTTGAATTTCAACCAAAAACGATAACATTAGTAATTTACCTTTCATCCTTTAAGACGACTTCGATTATTTTTTTAAATAGCTCAACTGTAGCTGTTTGTATATTAATCACTTCGCCGATTTTATGACATGTACATTTTTCTACGTTGTAAAATTGATCTCCTAATATTGGTATCGCGACTAATGGAACTTCAGCGGCTATAGCTTCATGTGTAGAGTGTATGCCTCCTTGAGTGATGAACAGCTTGACATTGGAATGCCCTGAATAAAATTTATAATTTTATTTTCACTTTTTTACTTTTTGAACTTTTTTGTATATTATGTATACATAATGATAAGTTTTCATAAACATGGTAGTAGGGTTATATCATTCTGGTCAGGTGGTTTGGATTTCGAGTTTCTCTTGGTCATCTTTTAATATGTATTGAGAATGAAAAGAAATTATGACGTACTAGCTTTTATCCGCAACTTCGTTTGGAATTGATATTAATCAGGATAAAGGTGGCTTTCTTCTATTTTTTCTTTTATATTATCCTTCTCCATTCTATATAGTACGTTTATACCAAATTTCATGATGTCTGATTGTGTTATTCCATCCACTTTCACGTTTATAATTTTAGTAAGGACTGTGTACTTACTCTATCGTTACACGAAGAAGGTAGGACCATTATGGTACTACCATCTTATTTAATTTTTATCATGAACATCATCATCATTTTTCTGCCCTTACACCAATTATCTGGGGTCAGCTAATATGATTTTATTCATATTGCATAATGTTTTAGATTTTGCTTTTATGACCAGCTACTTGGGAATGCACTTTTTTATGGTCTCTGGTATGGAAGAAATGATTAAGGGAAAAGGAAGAAGGTTTTCGGGGATGGGTAAAGAAGAAGATATACAGAAGGATAATTTCAGTCATAAACATAAAATATTATTATCGAAATGTTCAAATAACTTATTAAGAAATTCTGGTTGGGGGATCCAATCCAGAACTTTGATATTTCCTGGTAAATTCGAACACTGACGTGTAGTAGGTATTTTTTAATAAATTCACTAAATATATGTTCTCTTTCATTACCCTTTGCTCGATTATATATAGTTGATATTCCGATATTAATTTTGTATTCCAGATTCTGGTGAAGTATATATGATCACTACTGAAAAGATATACCAATATTTAAAAAGCAAGTATATTACTACAGATACATTTATACCTTACCATACTTTCTTATGTCTAATATAATTATGTACTTTAATAAACACATAATTTGAACAGATGCAATATATTAATACATATGGTAGATCGCGTTGACAAATAGAAAGTAACAATATAATACTATCTGATTAGTAATAAATTAGTCCCAATTGAATGACCTCGTTGTAAGTACCTTTTTAGGTAAACGTCCACGTGGTCCTAACTAGAAACTATCTAGTTAATTCTTCATAAATTCTTCACGAGACCTGACATTGACCTTATGCTCATCTATAATTACTCAATTTAAATACATATAGCCAAAACATGTATATATATAAGTATTTTACTTATACTTAACACACTGATAATACATAAAAATGTGACAGAAGTAAATAAATATACAAATGCGAGTTTAACTCTAAAATACTTCTCTTCGAGCAACACCTAAAGTGGAAAGGAGCATCAACGTCAGCGGGTAGAGCGGTGTACAATATTGGACCAATTTTCAAACAAAAAAGAAATAGACTTAAGTTTACACATACAATTTATGATCGGAGAGGATGAAAAGGCAAGTCAGTTAGCCCATCGTGACGAATTCAACGATAAATTAGTCACGATGGTTTCCAGGGGGAACCGCGTGAAGGTCGACCTGATAGATTATATTGATATCAATGGGGACTTACCTCCCCATTACTGTCAATCCCTTACCCCCTTCTGAAGGTATTAGGTACGTTATAATCATTTAAGTGCATAATAAAATATAAGGCCAGATTTATGAAAAGTTCCAATGGGAATGATATACGAGAACTACATAGTTAAAAGCGGGTAACGCAACGGGAAACAGCTAGTCTAATAATAAATTAAGTAATGAAGTTAGAACGTCACAAACCGGTAAACAGCTGAATTATTAGCGTATCTTTTTGCTGAGAGCACATTCTGGTTATGTTTTGTTTCAGAGACACTTTTTGTTTTCACAGTAAACATATCTCATGTATTCTGCGAAACCATGAAATGTAGAACTTCTTGAAGGGCACAAATTTCATTCCGAGCCATCTTTATCTTGCGCGAAATATTTCATACGAAAGTTGTGAAACATTTCGTAGGCCGTACGTATCGTGAACACGATTCTATATCTTGTATAAAAGTTTTTACAGTCAGAAACTTTCAAATTCTGATTTATGGTATAATATTTCCCGTTATCAAGCCGAATGAGATTTTTATTGCCCACATTCGGAATAAAATTGTCTCGCAACAGATAAGGTATCGGCAAAGTGTCTAACCTTGCTATTTTGCGCAGCAATTTCTCAAAATATGTTCTTTTTTTATAGCAACAGTGGAAAATATGTATAAGACCTGCGTGATGATTCTCAGGAATGGAAACACATAAGGGGTACTTTAGATATAACAGTGTATTCAGTGTCGTCCGAGGTGTTGTTTATGTCTATAGGCGACGGTTACCACTTTCGATTTCGTCAGCTTGTTTGCCATTCTAAGTTTCATGAAAAAACTACGAGCAAAAATATAATTGCCTGCAATAACCAATTTTTTTATGATTAAAATAGAATGAAATAGGTAACACCATCTACGCGCGACCTCTACACCATTTTTTCCCCCTTTCCTCCTGAAAACCATCGTGGTTAATTCCTGATCGTCACAATGGGCCAACTGACCTGCCTTTATTTTCATCTCTCACTGGTGCTGGCTTCACAAACACATCAGCGTTCCACTGTCACTCTATTAAAAAAACCATAGGTGGAAATAGGCACATAAAATTCTTTATATTCAATTTTCAATACCACGCAAAATTCGACAGAAGGGATGATAAAGAAGTAACGAATTTATTACATTCATTTCAAATTTTTAAATATATATATATATATATATATATATATATATATATATATATATATATATATATATATATATATATATATATATATATATATATATATATATATTTATTGGCCTTCCTATTATAGACTGCCTTCAGGAACGGTCCTGATAAAAATAGTAGGTATTATATTTTTTTTTTAAAGTAAATTATTTTTATTGTTTATTATAAATTGCATATTTTCAAATACTCAGATAAATAAATTTCTTCACCACCGTCACCAATTTAAACGACAACTGTTTAAATAAATTATGAGTAAAGTCGAAGTTCCTGACGCCATTGTTATATCTTTTAAAATTTTGAGGCTTCTATCTTAAATAACTAGATAGGCGAACGGCCATATTTGTGCGGTAAGCATATACACTGGGGGCATATTGTTAGAATGCTCTTGAAAAGAATAATTTAGTTTTTATATATAAAATTGTCTGCCATGTTGTCCCGACGTAAAATAGACCACTCCTTCCTTTTCTGTAGATATCGTAAGAAGCGACTAAGGGAAAACAAGCGATGGGCAGCAGCGTCCCTTTTAACACATCTCATAACATGCCGTTTCCCACAATTGTTTCGAATTCATTCGGAACTCTTCTTAAGGGGGCATTTGGCACTTAGTATTACATCATCTCGTCTGGTACGTGGCAAAACACAGTGAGTTCATTAATTTCCCGTCACATATATAAATAATTCGCCCATAATTGGGCATTTCATTCAGATGCTGATCTAGTCGGGTGGGTCACATCTGAGTGAACTGCTTAATTAAATTTGCTTTTTTTTTTACTAACATAGTTTGTAAGAAAATTGTTACTAACAAAATGGACCAAATTGTAGTCTGAATAATAAAGTATATTATATTGTATATTATATAAATATATAGATATCTAAATATTTTAACCATTAGTTTAAAACTTGGTATATACGTTTATATGGGCTAGAGATTACTAACAGCTATATAGTTTTTAAAAACGAATTACTGATATAAATATTGGTCATCTATTTAATTAAAGGATTACGAAAAATAATATCTTCTTCTTTAACGTAATATATTGCTTATAAAATAAAATATATGTCAACATTAGATATTGATTGGTAAAATAAGTGATATCTTTTTGTTTTATAAGATATCGAAGTTACTTGCTTGATTACCTATATTTTTGTTTTTGTTTGGGAGCTTTTGTAATTCATTTTTTATGTTCGCAACATAAAACTTTTTTGCATTGCTTATAAAACTATTTAACTTTAGACGAATAAACTTATAATGACAGATAAAAAAAATATATAAGATGAGAAATTCCATTGTGGCGTTCTATTTATCTTCGCAATTTAAATTATGATTTATTTATTTATTTGTTTATCTGTTATAAGTTACAATAACAGTTTGCAAATGGAAATGTACCAAAAGAAAACAATACAAATTTTATCAGTACGCAGTTTGCCAACCTTACATTGTAAACATCGTTTAACAGTAAGTTAGATATAAATGTTATGTCACTTTTATAGATGTACATTACATTACTGATTAGAGTTATGATCCAAACTTATTCCATCTCAAAACTATACAACGACCTCTTAAACCTAATAGTACTCTAATGAAAGTCGAATTTTTCGCTAATTTTGTTATAGAATTGACACATCCGATGAATCGGATTATTTTGTGAGACATTATTATTGGTAGATGAAATACTGAATAGCATATACTATATAGATAGATAGATAGATAGATACTCTTTATTGTTTCCTCCAAAAGATTACAATAGTAAGTAATTATATATAGCAATAATACTAAAAGTATGTAAAAATATACATAGTTTTTACATACTTTTTCCCGGTCAATAAACATATCCCAGTTACGCGATCGAAGTCGAGGATAAAAGCTAGTTTCATATAAAATAATATACAATTCTACAGTCTACAACGGGCAAAAGCCACTAAAAGATACTACAGCTAAACTACTGCATTACGTTCTCTCTTAGTAGTTCGTGACATATTATACCTCGTTGGGTAAAGTGCGGTTTCATTTCATTTATTTTGCGTTTCTCTTATAAATACAGTAATAATAATATATAATAAATCTTTATTTATCACCCATAAGGAATACTATACAGTATATAACTATTTAGGATTTCGTTTAAAAAATATTATTTCTTGTAAGAGTCTGGAATCTGATTTAGGTCGAAA